CGCCGCCCTGCCCCCCCCCCCCCCCCCCCTCCCCCGCTGCACGGCTTCGCAGGACACGGGTGGCTCCGTGTGGCGTCCGCTTCCCTTCCCCTCCCCCCGGATTCCCCCGGTTTTCAGCCACCACCGCCACCACCACCGTGACACAGCACTTGGGGCCGCGCCCGCCGCCGCCCCCGCGCGAACACCCAAACATGGCGCTTTTCACCCCAAACCGCCGCCCCCGCCGCGCGCACAAAGCCGCCCCGCCCCGCTGTCAGTCACCGCCATCCTCGCTTCTCATTGGCCGCCGCCCCCCAGAAGGGGCGGGACGGAGCGTGACTGACGGCGCGCCGCCGTCACGTGACCTCTCCCCCCGCCTCCGCGCCGCTGTTGTTGGGGGGGGGCAGGGCGAGGCCGCCGCCCCCCCCCCCCCCTTCAAGTCACTCACCTGAGGCGTCCCCGCCTTGAGTCGCGACCCCCGGGCTCGGTCCCGCTTCATCCGCCCCCTCTCCGCTCCCCCCAAATCCTCCCGCCCCAAAAAGCCCCGGCTTGGGGGTAAAAAAGATAAAAAAAACCATCCCGGGGCAGAAAAGGGAGCCACGCGCTACGTCACCCGCGCGCTGATTGGCTGCTGGATGTCACGTGACTCCCCCGCGGCTCCCACGGGCCCCCATTCATGGCCCCCCCACTTTCCCCTCGCCTCCCGTGGCGGGAAAGGCTCCGCGGGGTCCTAGCGCCGCGCGCATGCGCAGTGAGGGCGCGCTGCAGCGTGGGGGGGGAAGCACCCACGGGGGTCCGTGATGGGGTGGGGGAGGGGCACCCACGGTGGGATTTGGGGGGGGGTCCCAAAAATTCCCTGGGTGTCCCCTTGGGGGTCGGCGACATTCCTGGGGTGTCCCCCGGGGGTGCCAGGAAGGGTGGGGGGCACCCACGGGGGTCCGTGATGGGGTGTGGGGGGAGGGGCACCCACGGTGGGATTTGGGGGGGGGTCCCAAAAATTCCCTGGGTGTCCCCTTGGGGGTCCGCGACATTCCCGGGACGCCCCCACGGCACCCTCGGTGACGTCAGAACTGTCACGCGTGTCCCCCTAATTAACTCCGCGCCGCTCATTAACCCCCGTGACGTCACCAGCGGCACCCCCATCACTTTGGGGGTCCCCACGTGCGACGAGAGGGGTGTCCCCGACCCCACGTGACCCCTTTGGGGGGTGTGGGGGGGATCGGGGACCCCCCACACACGCTCCGCGTCCCCACATCGCTCTGTCACCGCCACCGCGCCGCGCCAGGGGTTCCTCTACCTGGCAACCGATGACGTTACGCGCGCGAAGCTCTCCCATTGGCTGGCGCCATGTCGGGGGCACGGGTGGGGCCAGCGGAGCCCCCCGGGGGGACACCGGGGATACGGAGGGGACATCGGGGACACGGAAGGGACACCGGGGATACGGAGGGGACACCGGGGATACGGAGGGGACAATGGGTGTCCTCGTGGCCGCGCTGGCCTGGGCGGTTTTTGTCGCTGTCGCCGTCGGTGACCCCGGTAGGAAGTGGCGGAGGGGAGAGGGAGGGAGAGGGGACAAGCGGTGTGGTCTCACTTCGGTGTTTGTCCCTTCCCCGGTCCTTCTCCCTCTCCCTTCCCTATTCCCTCCTTGTCCCCTCTCCCCCTTCTCCATTCCCATTTCCCTCTCCCCATTCCCTCTCCCTTCCTTACTCCCCTCTCCTCCTTCCCTCTCCCTTCCTTACTCCCCTCTCTTGCTTCCCTCTCCCTTCCTCATCCCCCTTCCTTCTCCATTTCCCCTTTCCTTCTTCCCCTCTCCCCTCCCCTCTCCTCATCCCCTTCCCTCTCCCCGTCCCTTTCCCTCTCTCCCTTCCCTTCTCCCTTCCTTATTCCCCTTTCTCTCTCCATCTCCCCCTTCCCTCTCCCCTCTCCCTTTCTCCATTCCCTCTCCCTCCTCCATTCCCATTCCCTCTCTACCTTCTCCATTCCCATTTCCCTCTCCCCTCTCCCTCCTCCATTCCCATTCCCTCTCCCCTCTCCCCTCTCCCTTTCTCCATTCCCTCCCCCTCCTCCATTCCCATTTCCCTCTTCCCTCTCTCCCTTCTCCATTCCCTCTCCCTTCTCCCCTTCCCTCTCCCCTCTCCCTCCTCCATTCCCGGGACCCACTCCCCTCTCCACCTTCCCTCTCCCCTTTCCCTTTCTCCATTCCCATTTCCCATTCCCCCTTCCCTCTCCCTTTTCCCTCCTCCATTCCCATTTCCCTCTCCCCTCTCCCCTTCCCCCCTTCATTCCCATTTCCCTCTTCCTTCTCTCCCTCCTCCATTCCCTCTCCCCTCTCCCTTCTCCCTCCTCCATTCCCATTCCCTCTCCCCCTTCCCTCTCCCCTCTCCCTCCTCCATTCCCATTCCCATTCCCAATCCCATTCCCATTCCCAATCCCATTCCCAATCCCATTCCCATTCCCAATCCCATTCCCATTCCCTCTCCCCTCTCCCCCTTCCCTCTCCCCTCTCCCCGTCCCTCCCCCCAGCCCCGTCCCCTCTCCCCCCTCTCCTCTCCGAGGTCCTCACCTGCCAGCCCGACCCTCCCTCCGCCTCCCTCGCCATCTCCCTGGACGGCCTCGGCCTCTTCTGGTTCGATTTCCCCGGATCCCGCTGGAATTCCGGGATTCCCTCGCTGCCTCCCTGGCCCCGGGAGCTGGAAACGCCCCAGGAAATCCTCCCGGAATTCCAGCTCTGCCGGGAAATCCTGGGAATTCTCAGCCGGGAGCTGCGGGGGCGCCTGCCCGAGGCCAGGGGTAGGAAATGTGGGAAAAACGGGGGGGGGAAATTTGGGATGGAGGGTGGGAAAATCGGGAAAATTTGGGATGGAGGGGTGGGAAAAATCGGGAATGGGGAGGTGGGAAAAATCGGGAATGGAGGGTGGGAAAAATGGGAGAAAAATCGGGAATGGAGGGTGGGAAAATGTGGGAAAAGTCGGGAACGGTGGGGTGGAAATAGAGAAAAATTCGGGAATAAGAGGAGGAAAACCATGAAAAACTCGGGAATAAAGGGATGGAAACAGCGAAAAACTCGGGAATAAAGGGAAGGAAAAGGGGGGAAAATTGGGAATAAAGGGATGGAAATCACTAAAAACTCGGGAATAAAGGGATGGAAACTGCGGGGAAAACTGGGGAATAAAGGGAAGGAAGCCACCCAAAATTCGGGAATAAAGGGATGGAAACAGCGAAAAATTCGGGAATGAAGGGATTGAAACTGCGGGAAAAAACTCGGGAATGAAGAGATGGGAAAACTTGGGAATAAAAGGATGGAAAAGGCTAAAAACTCGGGAATAAAGGGAAGGAAACAGGGAAAAACTGGGGAATAAGGGCATGGAAACTGCGGGAAAAACTCGGGAATGAAGGGATGGGAAAATTCGGGAATAAAGGGATGAAAACCACTAAAAATTCGGGAATAAAGGGATGGAAACTGCGGGAAAAACTCGGGAATAAAGGGATGGGAAAACTCGGGAATAACGGGATGGAAACCACCCGAAAATCGGGAATAAAGGGATGGAAACAAGAAAAATTCGGGAATAAAGGGATGGGAAAACTCGGGAATAAAGGGATGGAAACCGCAGGATAAACTGGGGAATAAAGAGAAGGAAACCACTAAAAATTCGGGAATAAAGGGATGGAAACAGGAAAAACTCGGGAATAAAATGACGGAAACCGCTAAAAACTCGGGAATAAAGGGAAAGAAACAGGGAAAAAAATTAGGAATAACGAAATTCCCAGGAATCCCGATGCTGTCGGTATTCCCGGCGCTGCCTCCCGTGGCCGGCGAGCCCAACTCGCTGCTGTGTTTGGTTGAGAACATTTTCCCTCCCTCGCTGGACATCGGCTGGAGCTCGGCGGGGACCGGGGGGATTCCCGGGGGGATTCCCGGGGGGATTCCCGGGGGGATTCCCGGGGTCAATCCCGGGGTTTTTGGGGTCAATCCCGGGGTTTTTGGGGTCAATCCCGGGGGGATTCCCGAGGTTAATCCCGGGGTTTTTGGGGTCAATCCCGGGGGGATTCCCGAGGTCAATCCCGGGGTTTTTGGGGTCAATCCCGGGGGGATTCCCGGGGTCAATCCCGGGGTTTTTGGGGTCAATCCCGGGGGGATTCCCGGGGTCAATCCCGGGGTTTTTGGGGTCAATCCCGGGGGGATTCCCGGGGTCAATCCCGGGGTTTTTGGGGTCAATCCCGGGGGGATTCCCGGGGTCAATCCCGGGGTTTCTGGGGTCAATCCCGGGGTTTTTGGGGTCAATCCCGGGGTTTCTGGGGTCAATCCCGGGGTTTCTGGGGTCAATCCCGGGGTTTTTGGGGTCAATCCCGGGGTTTTTGGGGTCAATCCCGGGGTTTCTGGGGTCAATCCCGGGGTTTTTGGGGTCAATCCCGGGGTTTCTGGGGTCAATCCCGGGGTTTTTGGGGTCAATCCCGGGGTTTCTGGGGTCAATCCCGGGGTTTTTGGGGTCAATCCCGGGGTTTCTGGGGTCAATCCCGGGGTTTTTGGGGTCAATCCCGGGGTTTCTGGGGTCAATCCCGGGGTTTCTGGGGTCAATCCCGGGGTTTCTGGGGTCAATCCCGGGGTTTTTGGGGTCAATCCCGGGGTTTCTGGGGTCAATCCCGGGGTTTCTGGGGTCAATCCCGGGGTTTTTGGGGTCAATCCCGGGGTTTTTGGGGTCAATCCCGGGGTTTCTGGGGTCAATCCCGGGGTTTTTGGGGTCAATCCCGGGGTTTCTGGGGTCAATCCCGGGGTTTTTGGGGTCAATCCCGGGGTTTCTGGGGTCACTCCCGGAGACATTCCCGGGGTCACCACCGGACCCTTCATTCCCGGTACCGATCTCGGCTTCTCCCGCCTGGCCCGGGCTCCGCTGCTGCCGCGGCCCGGGGAGGTTCTGGCCTGCGTGGTCACCGAGCACGAGGGGAACGGAAGCGTCGTGGAGTATTGGGGTGAGGATTTGGGGGTTTTTGGGGATTTGGGGGATTTTTTGGGATTTTTTGGGAGTTTTTTGCGGATTTTTTTGGATTTTTTTGGGATTTTTTAAGTGTTTTTATGGATTTTTTTAGGGATTTTTGGGGGGATTTTTTGGGATTTTTTGGGGATTTCTTTTGGGATTTTTGGGGGATTTTTGGGGGGGATTTTTGGAGGATTTTTGAGGATTTTTTTGGGGATTTTTAAGGATTTTTGGGATTTTTTTTTGATTTTTGGGGGATTTTTTTGGGACTTCTGAGGATTTTGGGGGATTTTTTGGGGGGATTTTTAAAGTATTTTTTTTTTAAAGTTTTTTAGTGATTTTTTGGGGATTTTTTGAGGATTTTTGGGGATTTCTTTTGGGATTTTTGGGGATTTTTTTGATTTTGGGGGGGATTTTTTTTTTGAATTTTTGCGGGATTTTTTAATGATTTTTTTGGCATTTTTTATGATTTTTTTGGGGGATATTTTGGAATTTTGGGGGGATGTTTTGGGGACTTTTGGAGTATTTTTGGAGGATTTTTTTTACGATTTTTGGATGATTTTTCGGGGATTTTTTAGAGAATTTTTTTTGCCTCTTGGTGATATTTTTCACTCTCTCTGAGGGATTTTTGGGGGATCATTCGGGGATATTTTTGGGGTATTTTTTTGGGATTTCAGGGATAATTTTGGCGTTGTTTCTGTGTCCGCAGTGGCTCCGGACACGTCTCTGGACGAGCAGCTGGACACGGCTCTGGCCGGAGCCGCTCTGGCCCTGGGCCTGGTCCTGGCCCTGCTCGGGCTCGGCCTGGCCCTGCTGGCCCCGAGGGGCCGGCCCGGACCCGGGATAATCCCGACCTGGGCCTGAGCCCGGTTCTGGTCCTGGTTCCGGTCCTGGCCCTGCTCGGGCTCGGCCTGGCCCTGCTGGCCCCGAGGGGCCGGCCCGGACCCGGGATAATCCCGACCTGGGCCTGAGCCCGGTTCCGAGCCCGGTTCTGGGCCCGGTTCTGGTCCTGAGCCCGGTTCTGGTCCTGGTTCTGGTTCCGGTCCTGGCCCTGCTCGGGCTCGGCCTGGCCCTGCTGGCCCCGAGGGGCCGGCCCGGACCCGGGATAATCCCGACCTGGGGGATAAACCCGAGCCCGGTTCTGGGCCCGGTTCTGGTCCTGAGCCCGGTTCTGGTCCTGGTTCTGGTTCCGGTCCTGGCCCTGCTCGGGCTCGGCCTGGCCCTGCTGGCCCCGAGGGGCCGGCCCGGACCCGGGATAATCCCGACCTGGGCCTGAGCCCGGTTCCGAGCCCGGTTCTGGGCCCGGTTCTGGTCCTGAGCCCGGTTCTGGTCCTGGTTCTGGTTCCGGTCCTGGCCCTGCTCGGGCTCGGCCCCTGACTGCTGGCCCCGAGGGGCCGGCCCGGACCCGGGATAATCCCGACCTGGGCCTGAGCCCGGTTCTGGTCCTGGTTCCGGTCCTGGCCCTGCTCGGGCTCGGCCTGGCCCTGCTGGCCCCGAGGGGCCGGCCCGGACCCGGGATAATCCCGACCTGGGGGATAAACCCGAGCCCGGTTCTGGGCCCGGTTCTGGTCTTGAGCCCGGCTCTGAGCCCGGTTCTGTGCTCGGGCTCGGCCTGGCCCTGCTGGCCCCGAGGGGCCGGCCCGGACCCGGGATAATCCCGACCTGGGGGATAAACCCGAGCCCGGTTCTGGGCCCGGTTCTGGTCTTGAGCCCGGCTCTGAGCCCGGTTCTGAGCCCGGTTCTGGTCCTGAGCCCGGCTCTGAGCCCGGTTCTGGTCCCGGTTCTAGTCCTGAGCCCGGTTCTGGTCCTGAGCCCGGCTCTGAGCCCGGTTCTGGTCCCGGTTCTAGTCCTGAGCCCGGTTCTGGTCCTGAGCCTGGTTCTGGTCCCGGTTCTGGTTCCGGTCCTGATCCCTGTCCGGTCCTGATTTCGGTCCCATTCCTGGTCCCGGTCCTGAGCCCGGTTCTGGTTCTGATCCCAATTCCAATCCTAATCCCAGTCCCGAATCTGATCCTGGTCCTGGACCCGATCCCGATCCAGGTTCTGATCCCGGTCCCGGTTCTAATCCCGATCCCAGTCCTGATCCCGATCCCAGTCCCGGTTCTGATTCCCATCCCTGTCCCAGTCCCGGTTCCGATCCCAGTCCCGGTCCCGGTTCCGATCCCGATCCCAGTCCCGATCCCGATCCCAGTCCCGGTCCTGATTCCCATCCCTGTCCCAGTCCCGGTTCCGATCCCGGTTCCGATCCCAGTCCCGATCCCAGTCCCGGTCCCGGTTCCGATCCCGATCCCAGTCCCGATCCCGATCCCAGTCCCGGTCCTGATTCCCATCCCTGTCCCAGTCCCGGTTCCGATCCCGGTTCCGATCCCAGTCCCGATCCCAGTCCCGGTCCCGGTTCCGATCCCGATCCCAGTCCCGATCCCGATCCCAGTCCCGGTCCCGGTTCCGATCCCGATCCCAGTCCTGATCCCGATCCCAGTCCCGGTTCTGATCCCGATCTCAGTCCCGGTTCCGATCCCAGTCCCGGTCCCGGTTCCGATCCCGGTCCCAATCCCAGTCCCAGTTCTGGTCCCGGTTCCGATCCCAGTCCCGGTTCCGATCCCGGTTCCGATCCCAGTCCCAGTTCCGGTTCCGGTTCCGATCCCAGTCCTGGTCCCGGTTCCGATCCCAGTCCCAGTCCCGGTTCCGATCCCGGTTCCGATCCCAGTCCCAGTTCCGGTTCCGGTTCCGATCCCGATCCCAGTCCCGATCCCTGTCCCAGTCCCGATCCCGGTTCCGGTCCCGGTTCCGGTTCGGGTTCGGGTTCCGGTTCGGGTTCTGTTGCCGGGCTGAGCTGACCCGAGCGGGATTCGGGAATTTGGGAATCAAACCTCGCTTTTCCTGAATAAATCCAGCGCTTCCGGCAGCTTCCGGCTCCTCGTTTGGCGCGGTTCTGGTTCTGGTTCTGATCCCGGTTTTAGTCCTGAGCCCGCTCCTGATCCCGGTCCCGGTTCTGATCCCGGTTTTAGTCCTGAGCCCGCTCCTGATCCCGGTCCCGGTTCTGATCCTGGTCCCAGTTTTATCCCGGTCCTGGTTTTATCCAGGTCCTAATTCCGGTTCTGATCTCGGTTCTGATCCCGATCCCGGTTCCGATCCTGGTCCTGATCCCGGTTCTGATCCTGGTCCCAGTTTTATCCCGATCCCGGTTTTATCCAGGTCCTAATCCCGATTCTGATCCCGATCCCGGTTCTGGTTCTGATCCCGATCCCGGTTCTGATCCTGATCCCAGTTTTATCCCCGTCCTGGTTTTGTCCCGGTCCCGGTTTTATCCAGGTCTCAATCCCGGTTCTGATCCCGGTTCTGATCCTGATCCCAGTTTTATCCCGGTCCTGGTTTTATCCCGGTCTCAATCCCGGTTCTGATCCCGGTTCTGATCCCGATCCCGGTTCTGATCCTGATCCCAGTTTTATCCCGGTCCTGGTTTTATCCAGGTCTCAATCCCGGTTCTGATCCCGGTTCTGATCCCGATCCCGGTTCTGATCCTGATCCCAGTTTTATCCCGGTCCCGGTTTTATCCAGGTCTCAATCCCGATTCTGATCCCGGTTCTGATCCTGATCCCAGTTTTGTCCCGGTCCTGGTTTTATCCCGGTCTCAATCCCGGTTCTGATCCTGATCCCGATCCCGATCCCGGTCCTGATCCTGGTTTTATCCCAATCCCGGTTTTATCCCGATCCCGGGGTGGCTCCCAGTGCTCCCAGTAACGGCTCCCAGTCC